TGTGTAATACATTTTAACTAAACAGCATACAAGAAGTCGTTGGTGTGTGCAACAGATGCCCGACCATCCGCCACGAATATAGGGATCACAGCCACAGTCGTCATGCTAGCTCCTCTCGGCATGATTCTATTTATGGATGTCATGACCATGACAGGATCATTATCCCGGCCAAGAACGCGTGTGCAGTAGGTCTCGCAGGTAAATCAGGGTCGAACTTTTTACAAGTCACTCTCGGTCAAAAAGTTTCAAGGATCCATCAGAATCAAAACGTCCGAGGTTCTGACACCAATTCATACCTTGAGGACCGGATGTGAACGTAAACCCATGAATTTCGAGGATGACGTCTACACATTCAATAAAAATCTACATAACTCCGGTCTACACAGCGAATAACTATTCACATAACTACGGTCTGCACAATCAATAAAATTCCATATAACTCCGGTCTACACATTATATCAACCATTGCATATGTCAATGGGTTTTGAATACATAAACAACTAGACTATCAATGACACTTATCTTTTTACAAATTTCATGTGCATACATTTTATTTGCTCACAATTCTTATTTCTTATTTATTTTTAATGTCATTACAAAATAAACAGGTCATAATCATTACATAGTTTAACGTAAATTAATAGCCAAGTTAGAAGGGCATAATAATATAACGTTAAAAAATACTAACGATATTAAAATTACTATTTAAGGTTAATCCTATACATGTATATTACAACGTACCTGTCTAATGTACAATATACCTTCATACATGTTAGGGTGTGTCTAATGGATGTCGTAAAGGGGGTTCTGCACTCTACTTGATATCTACAACTCAAAAACCATAATTCCGAACCAAGACCTCATTATACTTCACTCTATGCAGGCGAGGTTGAGTGACGGTGGTAAAATGCCTCGCTGAAGGACACCACCACATCCCATTGTCAAGATGTATAGACCTTTCATTTAATAAGCGAACACACAAACGATAGTGCGACAAGGTTTGTGACCATCGCACTTACCATTTTTCATTATTTGAACAAATATTTACATACTGGTGGGTCTAGGTTTCAATACGACGATCATTTGAACACGAAGTGCAGTATTGATCGACAACAATGATAAGTGAAGGTGTTACCAATGCTATATTTCATTAGATATATTCAATACTCTGAGTAGTGTCCATTATTTAGCCGTGTGTTTAATATTTCCAATACCTTTGTAGGAATGATTTTTGAAGAAATTAATTGATTTGGGAAAAAAAGATAAAACAAAACAAAAGAATGAGGTATGGCTGTAATTATTTTATTCAATTCATTTCATGAGGAACAAAACACTAGCTGACGAGAAAGCAATATACCATGACAGGAAAAAGGGTTTTTAAAACAAGGTGAGATGCATAATTATCCAACGACTTGGATAGACGATTTATGACGATTTATGACGAACGTTTACATTGTATGTGTAGTGGTTTATCAATTGTAAACAAAATCAGCATTTCATATTTAATTATTAGTGACCATTCTATTATATAATTAAATTTTGTAAGATTGTCAGTAAAGGAGAAATATAATCTTCAAACGACTGGTTCCAAATAAAAACAAAACTAGGCAAACTCATGTATAAAATAGCAGATGTGACTTATTTTCCTCTGTGTACCTTTCTCTACTGTCTGGAGGATTAACTCGCCCTTATTTTGTTTGTTTGTTTGGTTTTAACCATATATCTTAACACTATTTAATGTTCAAACTATGCTCCTGGAGATACGTTTTACTTAACTCTATTCAGTGTACAAATCATGTTCCTGTAAATATCATCATGGGAAATAAATCTTCATTTGGAAATTGTATCTTACTTTGTTTTCCATGCACTTATACTATACAGGATAGCTGGAATAAAAATTAAAAAAACAGGTGATTCCTCATACTATTTCCAAGGAACAGGACTATATCGATACTTCGTTAAACTGCCACCTTTTGTTTTATAACCGGAAGGCATTATAAAGGGGTTAACAAACTTACAAATACAAATTGATAAATAATAAGTCGTTTAGATGATATATTTGCTGTTTAAAACACAACACCAAGAGAAAACCGAAGTGACAACCGAACCGTAATTCGAAGTCAAAATAATTAAAACTGGTAAGAAATATGAACAAAGGAGAGATTTGCATGGATATCGTTAATAATATAACAAGAATAAGACCAGATGGTCCGGAGGGGTAGGTTTCTGCTGCTTCATCAACGACACACATCATATAAACCTAAGTAAAAACCACAAAGCACTTAATGAGCATGATACAAAGTTTAAACACCGACATTCATACAACACAAACAAATAACATGAGGGATCATTAGGACAACCATAACACGTGTCCTTAGTCTCCATCACCCTACACCTTATGTTGTTACTTTGTCCGTCAGCAGTCAACATCTATCACGGAAGTCAGGATATTTTGAAATATCGAATCAACTGCAACATGTTGATATCTAGGGCGAGGAAAACAATGGAGAAAACGAAATGATCATGCTCGCTGCACAACTAATTAGTAGTAAGCCGACCATGATGGCCATGGTGAATCCAAAGATCAAGGAACGTGGCTAATGGGTGTTCTTGACTCCAGGTTACGGAGGGTATGTATTATGAACTTGGTAAGTATATTTATTTTATTTTGTTTAAAGATAGCACATATCGATAAATCTGAAAGTTAAATTAAAGGACTTGGCAAGCTTTTTGTTAACTATCCTGATAAGCTTACATATCGATTCAAAAGCTACTGAAATAAATCGGCGACAAATTGTATTATAATTATATTCCCCGTTCTTGATTGCCAAACATTAATCGTCATCCGTTATTTTTAATCAAATGCAATATTTGAATGATATTGAACCCGTTCAGCTTACATGTTCACTACGGAAACCAAAGACTGTCGTCCATAACATGAGGATAGCGGACGGCTACTAGTAGTCAAACAAATATATAGGGTCACCTGCGGTCACTGAATTACACAGTTCACAAATCTAGAGGCCGTATGTCTTAGAGGGCTGGTCACCAGTTGTCACTTTTTTACAACACAAAACTGAAGGTCCCTTGTCTCAAAGAGCTGTTCGCCAGTGGTCATCATTACACGAAACACATCTAGAGGGCTTGTGTTTCAGAGGACTGGTCTCTCAGAAAGGGCACACAAAGGTTACGAATTTAAATATTTTCTTCAATCCCGTTCTTCTACGAAACGTCAGATGAACATTGACTTATCACAATGATAATGCGATCACAAGTTTTAGGTTGGTGGGGCATTTAAGTTAAGAGAGGTCACAACCGTTAAGTTTTACTTTGTTCGTGGTTTTATGTTCTATTATTGTTCAAGGTCATATGAAGGTAGATTTCTTAGGATAATATGTTGGAAAGAAAGAGTAGGTAAGAAGTACACAGAAGAATGGACAAAACAAACATATCGACTATTAATTTAATTTTTAACTCATTTACACCTACATTTTTAAACTGGTCTAACCAAGTCTGATTTGGTAAGGTTCAATTATGATATAGAAGATGAATTTCATTCTATAATTGAGTGTAACCGCTATTCAGACATCCGGTCTAAATTCATAAAGCAATATTATTTCAAAAGACCTAGTATGTTTAAATTCGTTCAATTACTCAAAATCGAAAACAAAAAAGAACTTAATAACTCATTGCCATAAGTTGTAAAACTTCAGCAAATAAAGAACCTGAAATGAACAAATCAATAGTAATATGCATAAAGTTTGGACTACAACGCAATATTCCTCCAGAAGCAGAGCGAAGTCGTAGCTTCTATTAAAATACGAATTAAGGAGACGGATTTACATAAGTACTATGTACTTGTTTCTGGATCCTTTTCTGTATTTATAACCATGTACTATTGTAATTAAACATCAATAAAATAAAGTTTAAACTAAAATACGAATACAAAGTTGTTATGGATCATTTTATATAAAACATGTTTTAAATGCCGCATTCGTTCTTTTTATTAAATACAGTTGCAATGAGGCTCAGGGTCAGAACCCTATATGTTAATTACCTGTAGTTCTTACCAATTAATACTTATAACCAAAGGGCATTTCCGATACTTACCTGTGAATAAAACAGGTGAACTAATTACCTCACAAGGACATTTATAAACGACCCTCCACCTGACACAGATAACATGGTGTACTAACCTAATTGAATTGAATATCCCCAGCTAGGGCGAGCTAGGCAGAATTCTGTTCTATTTCGAGTTTGACTTTCACATATAATTTGAAGCTAGCGATTGGTAGAGATTTGGGAACCTGTTTCTTTTCTTAAAAATATGCATAGAATATGAAGTAATATTTGTTTGTGCCCTAAATTCAATATATATTCATATATATCTACTTTATTTTCGCTATTCCGTCTTTTCGTATTGCAAAGTTATCTGCTCTTGTGAGCAGATATTGATTGTTACGTCATTTATTTTTTGTGAGAGTAACGTCATAATTTTTTGAGAAAACGACCACAAGCCAAGGACAGTATTGGGACAGTATTATACGTCCCTGCACAAACTTATGACTTAACAATCAATACCTGCTCACAAAAGCAGATAACTCTGCATTACGAAAAGATGGAATAAAAAGAACGATGTCATTACTTCTGTATTGTATTATTTATTCGGAAATAACTTAACTAAGACCACTTTAAATGTATATTAGATCCACAAGTATATAACATATGCGTTAGCCATGGGTTACGATCCGGTACGATTTACCTATTTATATAAAATGATTAATTCAAACTTTTGGCGGGGAAAAGTCATAATACGGAGGCAAATAAAATATACATCTTTTATTCTAAATTTGACACTGATACGTAATACTACATATGATGCCTGTCCTCATACTGATATCATGATCAGTATCAAATTCTATTTTCTCCCACGTAATAAATTAGGTATTAATTTTATCCAATCACAACTATTTCCGGTCATATCCTCATACAGCATCACAACAAAAATGGCTGCCCACTATAAACTTCGCTGTAGTTTGGCGGGTCACAAAAAAGATGTTCGTGCGGTCGCGCCAGCCATTCTTCCCCAGGGATCAATTCTGTCCGGATCTCGAGATGTCACAGCGAAAGTGTGGATACCAAATGAGTAGGTTTTCATTGACGTATCGTTTGCAATCGGGAAATAAACTTGTTTTTATCTCGACAATATGATTGGGCATGACTCAAATTTTCACTTTCGCTTTGTCATGATACTCGTTCATGACATCATCAAAACTGCGGTAGATCATTGATGAACATTTGCTGATGTCATGTTTCAATCAAAATAGTTTCTAATTAAAGGAAATATTCTGTATAGGGTTCCATAAAATGCAGGATCCTGAACGCATTTCCAAGATCGCCCTTCCCTCTTGGCTTTTCATCCCACTTTCTCCACAGCCATAGGGACAGGCAACTACTACTACTAAAAATATTATTATAAATTGTTATTGTATACGGATCCAGCGACTGAAAGTATAAAAAGATCATTATTAGAAGTAGTTGTATGCCCCGGTGTTTCTCTAATGATACATGTTAGAAATGCCATTTTTAATTCCTGTGGAGTACAGTAGATGTTATCTGACAATCTGGAGCAAAACAGTACAGGTTGTAAACATTTCGAGTGAAAGTTATCCGGTTGTGTCAGCGTTATCTGAAAATAAGTCAGCATTCTAGGTTCAATTTGATTTTAAAAAGATTGGGTGAGTATTGATAGAGAATATTGATAGAGAACTGGTTGTACGTGTGTTTGTTGTTTATGTGTTACTTGGAACATAAAAAATTGAAATTAAAAAAAATATTTCCTTAAATAAAGCAAGATATAAATTCTTTCTGATACCACAGATTCATTAACTAGCAAAAGAAACAGACATCAATTACAACGTCAACAAAATAAGTAGCAATACTAAAGTTGTTTTCACACTAATTTTCAACTAAGATTATAAGTATGTTGTAATAATGAAGCAGGTACTCACTGAATCAAAGGAATTAAGTCGTCATAACTTGTTGTACAATATATGTAGGAATGTTTACAGAGCATAACTTGGTGTAGAATATATGTAGGAATATTTACAGAACGTCATAACTTGTCGTACAATATATGTAGGAATATTTACAGAACGTCATAATTTGTTGTACAATATATGTAGGAATATTTACAGAAAAAAAAACAAGTTAACAGTCTGGGGATTCCATTTCTATGCTGCCTAATGGCTATGGTACCTGGTTTTTTTTTACCCGGTTATGTGCTACAGTGTGTTGTATTATTTAATCTAAGTCTGATATATCTCTGACCCCTACACCCAAGTCTTGACAAATGGATACAGTAGAATTTGCTTAATATCACTTCTCATTTGTCAGAGAATTATTCCTGGTATTGTGCTACAGGGTGTTCTATCATTTAACCTAGCCTGAGTTCCTCTGGCCCCTACACCAAAGTTTCGAAATGACAAATGGATATCTAAACATTTGTCTATGGAAATTTCAAAACTCTGGTGTAAAGGCCATGAGGAAACTTGAGTCCCTAATCCCTAGATCCTTTTGAAGCATATTATTCCAAAAGACTGTGTTTGATCATGACATGTGCAGCACTTACATCAAAAAACATTATACAATTAAATTCAAATCGATCATTTTTAGAACTTCATAAGAAAAAAAAGAAATCCCCTCTTCACACCGTCTGTGTTTTTGCTTTTGTTGAAATGAAAATAGATGGGGGAAAAATGAATTAAAATCTTCCCAAATAATGTTCTGGTGTTAAAATAAAGGTGATGAAAAGAAATGATTCACCCATGTCCCTATCCAATCTAACTTTTTCACAATCATTATCTAAATTCATTGCACATTAGAAAAAATCAAAACCTGACGTTATCAGAATCATATTTGTAAGTGATGGAGAAATAGATCACCTTTTGTCCTTTTGATCTTGATTAATTTTTACTCCAGGTCTGACCATGGATTCAGAGAAGGACATGTGATGAGTGGCCATACCAACTTTATATCTGCCGTGTGTTACGTGCCACCAGATGGCACTTACTCCCACGGGCTGATATTGACGGGAAGCAATGACTCCACTATACTAGCATACACTCTGGATTCTCCAGAACCAATATATAAACTAACTGGACATTCAAATACGGGTTTGTACATGTTTTTGAGCTCTGTTCTTACAAGATGAATGTAGAAGCCTTTGTGTTTTAAAATTGTAATTGTTTCTCAGTTTCTGAGCTTTAACCTTAAAGAGCCACTTGAACAGTTTTAAATTTATTCCAACAAAAGATAATGCAAAAAAATAGAATATTATATAATAAGGTTTACATCAATGTGTAGTTGCTCAGTAGCACAAATGAAATTGAAATCTTAAAATGTTGGGTAAAAATGAAATATTAGTTGAATACTGTAGTTGTTGGTATCCTGTAGTATCAAAAATAAACGATAAACATTTTTTACAGTATGTTCATTGGTCTCTGGGAAGTTTGGAACCTTACTGAGTGGATCATGGGATAAAACTGCAAAAGTGTGGCTCAACAAAAAATGTGTTATGACCCTAGAAGGTAAATGGAATAAAACCTTCAAACTTACAAGAAATGTAATGTATTACAGTATCTCCATGAAGTCTAATGTCTAAGTGCAGATACATATAATATTGTAATGAAAAGCAAGGAAAACAGCAGCTGTTTATGGTGAATTGACATATCTCTATTCAGTGTATATCATGTCTGACATTAAGATTTTACTTTTTAACCTGATCAAAGACTAAATCATTATAAAGTATTAAATCATTATAAGATGTGTTTAGTGGATTTCTGTTTGAAATTTAACAATAACCAATTTTTCAGGTCATGAGTCTGCGGTATGGGCCGTGGCTATACTCCCAGAACAGGGATACATGTTGACCGGTTCAGCTGATAAAACCATTAAAGTATGGAAAGCTGGCAAGTGTGAAAACACTCTAAAAGGTAAGTGCTTAATTCTCCCATATACTGTACCTGGTGAAGGTTTCATCCAGAACTGAATCAAATGTTGGAATATTAGAAAACAAATGCAAATTTCCCGAATGGACAAATAGCAAAAACCGTATTCAAATGTTTGGCAACAAAACCTCGCTTGTGCCATTTCAACAGAAATAATTAACAAGAGTACATGTTGAGTATGGGATAATTTCAAATCTGATTCCAAAAAAATTGTGCAGAATGCAGACAAATAAATCATTTGTAAATGATGTAATATGTATTCATTTTTACACAGGGATTAAGTAAAGGACAGACTATTTTGATAAAATATCCATAGGAAAAGTATGCTTTTAGACTATATATAGCTATCTAGTATTAAAATGCACATCTAAGTGATCAAGATGGATGTCTGTAACAGAACTAATTGAAAAAGAAAATTACCATGCAGACTTTGCTGCCAGTTTTCAATTCAACAATTTGTTAATAACTGCCTTTGAGTACATATGTCATGATGCAGCCGAACTTGAAGTGACATATTCATAATGTATTTCTCAGATATGTAGACCCTTATTGTACCAGATTGTTTAATTTGATCATTAAATATAATTAGCAGACAATATTTTTGGCATTGTAGCGAATATGCTTACAGATAAAAATAAGGACAAGTTTCTTTTCTAATTTCTAAAATAACAATGATGTATGCATAGTATAATTACAATGACTCGCATGTATGTACCGGTATAAGTTTTGTCAGCATTTAATGGCTTCAACGAGAACTGTGCATAAACATAATAACTGAATTATTGACTGCTGTCTATAGGAATAGCAATTAGATTGTTCCACACAAAATAAAATGGAATGCTGGTGTGCTAATTTGAATACAACTTTCTTTGTGTACAATGACTGTTTGTTACCCAGGACATGAGGATTGTGTAAGAGATATAGCTGTCCTAAAGAAGCCAGAGTTCCTGTCTTGTTCAAATGACTCCACGATACGTCACTGGTCGATCACAGGTGACTGTATCGGTGTGTACTATGGTCATGAGAACTTTGTGTACAGTCTGAGTGTGCTGCCAAACGGTGAGGACTTTGTGAGCAGTGGGGAAGACCGCACAGTGCGGGTGTGGCGAGGAGGACAAGTCGCCCAGACCATCGCTCATCCTTCCATGTCTGTCTGGTCTGTGTGTGTCCTCCCTAATGGAGACATTGCTTCAGGTTCAAGGTATATATAATTTTACATAACAATCTCTTGTTTAACTGTAAATGAATTTGCAGACATTCTTTTGCAGTCCAGGTCACTGGTTTTGTATAACTTTATTAGTCCAATGGGGACTCTGTAGGTTTATGGCGCTCCGTCTGTAAGTGCTCTGTCTGTATTTTGTATTTATCTATTTCACCTAGGGTTAACAAATAAAAGTTTGATCAAATACACCTTATATCTAGATATAGAAATACACTATACAAATACCAGTGTTTCAGAACGTATCTGTATTCAAGTCAGAATATTAACTCAGGAAGCCCTTATTAGTATAGCTGTGAGGATGTTATGTAGTAGTAACTTTGTGACAATGTAATTGAAATAAAATTTAAAAAAAACTGAAACTGTAATATTTTAGTGATGGAGTCATTAGAGTATTCACAACACATCCTGAGAAGGTCGCCTCTCCTGACCAATTGAAAGCATTTGAGGCAGAGGTGGCAACAGCTGAAGTACCCACACAGATAGGGGAGATACAAAAACGAGACCTGCCAGGTCCTGAGGCCCTTCTTAACCCTGGTAAGTTGTAAGGGAGATACAAAAACGTCCTGAGGCCCTTCTTAACCCTGGTAAGTTGTAAGGGAGATACAAAAACGTGACCTGCCAGGTCCTGAGGCCCTTCTTAACCCTGGTAAGTTGTAAGGAAGATACAGAAACAGGACTTGCCAGGACATGAGGCCATCCTCAACCCAGGTAAGTTGTAGGGGAGATACAAAAATGGGATTTACAAGGACCTGAGGCCCTCCTCAACCCAGGGAGAGATACAAAAACAGGACTTGCCAGGACATGAGGCCATCCTCAACCCAGGTAAGTTGTAGGAGAGATACAAAAACAGGACTTACCAGGACCTGAGGCCCTCCTCAACCCAGGGCGAGATACAAAAACAGAACTGTATCATTCTAAATCAATACCCCTCATCCCCTCTTGAAATGTCTCAACATGAAAAAAAAAATGTATCTGGCTACAGTGCTTGGCTATAGTACCATTAAAAAGACATAACAAGGACAAAAGCATTTAAGATATCTGTATAATGTCAAAATAGACAGCAGATAATCTGATATATATAAATAGAGTGTATATGCTATTAAATTTTCTTATGTTAATAAAAACTTATGCTGATTTACAAGAGCTTCGTAATTCCTCCCGTCTAGGTGTCAAAGCATTTTACAAAATCAATCTTGCTAGCTTTGAGCTATTCTGTTGTGGTTACCTAGGTAACAAGGACGGTCAGACAAAGATGGTGAAGACTGGGGATAAAGTTGAAATCTACCACTGGGAGGCAGCCGCAACCAAGTGGACCAAGATTGGTGATGTTGTAGGATCCAGTGGGGGCACACAGAAAACATCAGGGAAAACACTCTATGAGGGAAAAGTTAGTATGAATGTAGAAAACTTGTGGAATATAATTCTTTGGGGGCAAGGTCAATGGGAAAAGGCTCAAGGGCAAGGTCATTAGAATTAGTATAGAAAATTGTTGTCTGTATTTAGAACTATTAAGTCAGTTACAGTTACTATAATAGTTATAGGGTGTTTTGTTTACATGTTATTAGAGTAATTGTTCACGATTTGAATTGTTTGCCAGCTGTCGGGGAAAGCCTGCATGTGTAGCTCCCTACTGCACAAAAGTAGTGCAAAATACATTATCTGAATAGCAAGCCATGCATGTGTCTTGTTTCTGGTATAATAAAAGATTGGAACTTTATTGAACTTTGAAGAAACCTTTGAGTGATGCATTTAAAGTTATGGATTTTTTTTGTTTTATTTGACAACAGAAAATTCACATACATACAAGATGATTTTAATTAGAAAGAAATTAACTTCAATGAGTTTGAGTGTGTTGCCCAAGCAAACACAATTAATAAACTACCTCGGTATAGGTTACTTAATCCTGTGTCTTTATATGAAACAGTGTTAATCAGAACTCTATCATCAAGACTATCTGAGAAAAGTGTTTAGCTTTAACCTTAATAAAAAATGATTTGTATTTTGCATTCCATTACTTTCAGTTTCGCTGATACAAATTGTGTGCACTTAAATCTCCATAAACGCCAATTATTTCATTTTCCAATTCGCTTACTGCCAACCTTTTTGAAGATACTGACTTTTCTTTTTATGGTGCAGCGTCCGGCGTCCGTCAACTTTTTCCTTTAAAATGCTACTTGTCCTGAATGGCTCAGAGGATTTTGACCAAATTTGGTCAGGAGCATCATTGGCCAAAGGGTTCTCAGTTTTGTATAAACGGAGGGTATAACCCCCCTGGGGGCAGAGGGGCGGGGCCAAATAGGGGGAAAATAGGTAAATCTTTAAAAATCTTCTTCTTCTCAACCAATAGAAGAATTTTGACCAAATTTGTCCTAGAGCATCTTTGGACAAAGGAGACTCAAGTTTGTATAAACGGAGGGTGTGGCCTCTTTGGGGGCAGAGGGGCGGGGCCAAATAGGGGAAGTAGAGGATTTTTTCTCTCCTACTATACAAGTGAAGGGATTTAAACCAAATGCAGTCTGAAGCTTGGTCAGGAGCATCATTGGCCAAAGGGTTCTCAGTTTTGTATAAACGGACGGTATAGCCCCCCCTCGGGGCAGAGGGGCGGGGCTAAATAAGGGGAAAAAAGGTAAATCTTTAAAAATGTTCTTCTTCTCAACCAATTGAAGGATTTTGACCAAATTTGTCCTAGAGCATCTTTGGACAAAGAAGACTCAAGTTTGTATAAACGGAGGGTGTGGCCCCTCTGGGGGCGGAGGGGCGGGGCCCAATAGGGGAAATAGAGGATTTTTTTTCTCCTGCTATACAAGTGAAGGGATTTTAACCAAATGCAGTCTGAAGCATGATTAGGGACAAAAGAATCAATTTTGTATAAACTGAGGTGTGTGGGCCTCCTTCTAAGGGCAGATGGGTGGGGCCCATTAGGGGAAATAGAGGAAAACATCAAATATCCTTCTCCTTTTGTACCGATGAAGGGATTTTGACCAAATTTGGTCTGGAGCATCATTGGCCAAAGGGTTCTCAGTTTTGTATGAACGGAGGGTATGGTCCCCCTGGGGGCAGAGGGACGGGGCCAAATAGGGGAAAATAGGTAAATCTTTAAAAATCTTCTCCTCAACCAATTGAAGGATTTTGACCAAATTTGTCCTAGAGCATCTTTGGACAAAGGAGACTCAAGTTTGTATAAACGGAGGGTGTGGGCCTTCTGGCGGCATAGGAGCGGGGCCCAATAGGGGAAATAGAGGATTTTTTTTCTCCTACTATACAAGTGAAGGGATTTAAACCAAATGCAGTCTGAAGCATGCTTAGGGAGAAAAGAATCAATTTTGTTTAAACTGAGGTGTGTGGATTCCCCTTCTTTGGGGCAGATTAGTGGGGCCCATTAGGGGAAATAGAGGAAAACATTAAAGATCCTTCTCCTTCTGTACCGTTGAAGGGATTTTAACCTAACCAAACTTGTTTTAGAGAATCTTTGGGCAAAGGGAATTGAATATTTATAAATGGAAGATGCAACTTTGTTACTTGTACTCCTTTGATAAACCTGAATGGTACTCAGCAGGTTTTAAATTGAAAAATAAAATACCAGGTGAGCTATTAAGGCCCCTGGGCCTCTTGTTTTCTAAGCAATGCTTAATTGCATCTCTTGACATGTCACCTTAAGGTTTTTAACCAATATGTATAATGGGAGTACAATGAGGGTTTACAATAGTTTAACTGTGACTTGCTCTGTTGTACAGGAGTACGACTACGTGTTTAGTGTCGACATAGAGGAGGGGAAACCACCCCTCAAACTGCCCTACAATAAGTCGGAGGATCCTTGGTTTGCCGCCCAGCGCTTCCTAGAGAAAAACAACCTCAATCAGCAGTTCCTGGACCAGGTGGCCAACTTCATCACCGAGAATTCAGAAGGGGTAACACTTGATCAGGCCGGCCCCCAAGTCTGTGATCCCTTCACAGGTGAGACGGACATTTTATATCTGTGCAAAGAATTCATTTACACAAGAGGCAGGACACACCACAGGAGGTCACAGTCAAACAATCTCTTTATGTTTATGAGTGACAGTCCTGCAGAGGAATTCTTTAAATTTTGATTTTCTAACAGTCCTGCAACAATATCTATTCAAAGGGTCCTTTGTAAATAGTAAATATTGTATTGACAATATATTTTAAATTTAATAATCCCTGAAAAAAGCCATATGTTTCGATTCTATCACTGGCAAGGAAATGAATCATGAACATTATAATTTATAATGCAATATATTCACACAGAAATAATGTGCTAGGTATTTTGGGGTATGTTCCTTATTATAAATGTAGGTATAGGGAAGAACTATGATGATTTTACATACATATACTTATGCATTATAAAAACATTGGTTTGTTCAGGAGAGGGACGCTATATTCCTGGAGCGGCCCCAGTGGGAAGTAAACAGAACAGCCAGGCTGTAACCTATGGAGCTGATCCCTTTACTGGTGAGTAAGGGCAGTATTCAGATTAATCACCAATCAGATTAAGGGAACAAAATTCATCAAAAGTTTTAATCATGCTTTATACATGTAATAGCATGACGAAACTTTTAAATTACCATTATATTTTCAATATTCAAGTCAGCTAATAATCTATCTGTTTATTTGATGTGTAAATGGACCCATTGTGCGTGTTCGTCTAGGTTCTGGAAGCTACCAGCCCGCAACTGCCACACAGTCAACAGGAGTTGCCAACAACTACTTCCCTCAGAAATCCTATGTCACCTTCGACGCCTCAAATCCAGCTCAGATCATTGGTGAGGAAATTACATAAACCAGCACTCCCATACTTCATCAATTTTTTGAGTTAGTAAAAATTATGAATGTAAATAAATATGGTGCAGTTAGTTGAATTAAATGCAAAAAGTTTCAGAGTAGAAAAAATGTTGAAGTGTGTGGTGTACATGTGTTGTATGTCAGGTGTTCATCATATATAGGATTCTCTTTGTCGTGGCTCTAGCGACTTCATTACTGAACAGAATTTCATGAAATTTCATTTAAGTGTTTAGTATGGCAATGCCTTGAACAAGTTCACATTTCTGGTTTCATACATATGTCACACAATGTGTGAATGAGAGGGGATTTGTGTCAATTGTGATATCTGTTTACCTGTATGTTGATATGTATGTATTGTTTACCTTTGTGTGTACTCTTACAAACATTGTAATGTATGCTATTTGTTTTCCTGTATATATTTTTACTTTACGTTTACTTTTATATAATATTATCTTACTAACTTACCGCTATCTATTATTTACTTCTGTATAGGTAAGCTGAAGGAGCTGAACTCGACAAAGGTAGAAAAAGGTTGTCAGTTGGAGATAGAGAAAATAGAGGCACTATCAGGCCTGATCCAAGGGAAAACTGCCAATGCTGACCACCTCACCACCATGATGAAGATTCTTTCCTGGCCACATGGTAAACATGAGCACATTAATTCAGACACTGTCGTGTAAAGAATAACATAAAGTTTATTATAACTAGTACCTGTTTTACCTGTGAGAAGTCATAATAAACGGCTGATATAGGTGCTGGGTTAAACTCATCTACTCATCGAAATTAGGTTGTTTAAAATATTACAATTGTTTTCCTTCTTCCTTTTTGTTTTAAATTTGTTCTGAAATTTAGGGTAGAAAAGGGAAAGAAAAATATTTCAGCTGACATTTTCTGTTTTACAGTATTCCAAAATTTATGTGACAAGATTATTTTCAAACTTCACTCTCGTCTATAAAATCTGTTGAACAAGAGGTGGGCTTAGCACTGTGCACCCTCTCATCATATTCAGTTCATAGTTCAGTTAGTTTATGTTTATACTAAAGTGTGGTAATATAAAGTTCTATGCCCTTTAGCCATTGGTAGTCATCAGTCAAAATTAAAGGGTCAATTGTTACGCTTGACCTCTTTATGGGGGTACCTCTATGTGACCCTCCCCCAACTTCAGTTTTTATATGAACATTTTTTTCAACAAAAAGAAATAACTTGAATAAAAATATAGATGTAATATCTAGTGTAGTATATACCCTATACAAGAAATAATTTCTGCCAATTTAAGTAACGTTTTTTGAGAGGAAATTTAACATGACAGGGAATATTGGAACCAGAATAACACGTATAGTATACATGTGAAAAGGAAGTCAACCCAAGGTTAATATTAATAAGTGGTGAAGGGCATATACTTAACTGGGGAAAAGCTTCTTGGTAAACAGTTAATAATTAAATGAGAGCTATATAGATGTATCACACTGACGGCTATTCTATTGTCTCCACAGAGGCTGTGTTTCCTGGATTGGATGTTTTGAGGATCGCCATCAAGGACCCCTTCATGAGTGAACGACTGTGCACAAATGTTCATTTCGTGGACAGCAGACTGATGTATTTAACTCGGAACAACACCCCCAACAATCAGATGCTAACCTTAAGGACTCTCTGTAACATGTTCAAACAACACTTTGGAGAAACACTAGCAATGCAAAATAGAGAAAGAATTATAACTGCAGCTTTGGAGTGTCGACTTTCACCAAACAAAAATGTCCAGATCGCCTTGTCAACTCTTCTTCTAAATTACGCTGTATTCCTTCAAGACAAACTTGATGAAGAGGCAAAGTCACAGTGTTTACTGGCAATGGCTAGTGTGTTAGAAAATGACATTGATTCTGAGGCAGTCTTCCGTCTGCTTGTGTGCTTAGGGACTCTTATCAGGACCGATGAAACTGCACAAGCTCTCGCACGATCTATTGACATCAGAAACTTGGTTGAACCTGTCCTTGCAAAACTAGAACCTGCTAAAGTGCCTGGATGTGCCGCATTTGTTTTGGAGCTTTTATAATACAACTATTTTGATTCTGTGGAAATAAAGACTTGCAGAAATACAGTAAAATACATATGGAAAATCTTACAAAGCTATCAGATAATTAAGACAATGTGTCAAAAATGATAAAAAAAATAATCTGAAAGGTCCCAATCATTGGCAATGGCACATCCTAATTTGCTTGTATATTGTTATTCCTTTAGGTATGATATCATTTTATAGAACCAATTCCTAATAGTGTTCCTGTTAGGGGATATAAAGTAAAACTGTATCTACCTGTTCTAGGTTCCCAGATGTTGATATTATGAATGCATTGAGTAGGTGACATATATCAGATGTGTATGAAAATGTTGGATATAAATAAATTATTATGGCTTGATCCTGGAGTATAGCTTCAGAAGCAAGATATGGAAGGAAATAAAATTGCACATATTAAGAAAAATGAAACCTTTTTTCTTTTAGTTTATTTCATTATTGTTAGGATTGGTATTTTATGTTATGATTTGAACTAAATGAGCTTATGCTATGCCACGTCTAGTCGTCTACCATCTGACATAAACATTTCCTTTAAAACCCAACTAAACAACACCTATTTTAAACTGCTTCTCAAGTTCCAACAGTGGGATTGAGCTGAAACTTGCCTGAAATGATCCGAGATGGTCCTGACCAAGTGTTGTTCTTTTTCAGGTCGGTCCAAATTCCAAGATGGCCGTCATCTTGAAAAACACTTTTTAAACTTCTTCTCCAGTTCCACTGGTGCCAATGAGCTAAAACTTGGTGGGGATGTTTTGGGGCCTCGAAATTGGAACTTAGCTATACATTTGCTTTAAAATACTATTCCTCCTTAATGCCTAAATGGATATTGCAACCAAATATGGTCTGAAATATCATTAGGAGGGGGAGGCTGAGGCTGGTTCGACCCCTGGGGGATAGAGAGGGCGGCGCCCCAAGAAAGAACATTACCTAAAATCCTGCTTTTAAACACTACTCGTTAATGCCAAAAGTAGATTACAACAATTTCAGTATGAAACATCAGTTAGAAACAATCATTTCTTATATAAATGAGGCAGGTTTAACCACCGTTGACAGCAGGACGGGGCCTTAAAAGGATAAATCTATTCAAATTTAGGTTTCAATGCTTTCTGATAGCTTTACTGACAAATAGGTACCCACTACTGACCAAAACTACCATCATGGGAATCAAATTCTTAGAATATTTCATTGAAAGTTGAAAAGTTACTATCACCCTGCTCATTCTTTGTAGTCAGATGACCGTTTAGGCACATGGGCCTCTTGTTTGTATGAACAGACATTTGGAGCAGAGGGTTGATGCCAATTAAAAAAAAAAAAATTAAAAAAAATTGTATTTTAAAAAGTATTCCTTCAGTACCAATAGAGAGATTTAAACCAGATCCAAGCAAAGTGAACTGAGTGTTGTATGAATAAGGGTATTGCTACACTGGAGCCAGAGTGACAGGGTCGTAATTGGGAATTTAGGGCATTTTTGTTTTGAACTACTTGTAGAAAGAAATGGTTGTACATATGGAAAGAACATACATGCAGTGGGTATTACAAGGATTGCAGAGGCTCCAGTAAAGGAAATATTGTGTACAGCTGTACTATAAAAAAAATATGTATCTGCACTATGCACACATTGTCGACATGAATGGATGAATATCTCAATGTTACTAAGATTGGCTCTGGGGTCCAGTCCTGCCCCTGCCAACTCTTGGTGACACTGTTGAGAACCCAACCCTATAACAATAACTGCTTGGTGGGCAAAAAGAGATGAGCACAATCTTACCTTGAGGATTAGTTCTAGGGTCTGGTCTCGGTGCTTGGGACTATGACTTATGATAATGACCCAGGCCTTATAATGCAAGTACATGTATCAGTGTTGGTATAACCATATACACAGATTTTATTGGCAGATTGGTTGAGTGGTTAACACTCCGGACTTCCATACAGGCGTCTTGGGTTCGATCCCCGAAGTCATCGTACACATGGAATATTCAGAGAAAATGTTTTTCTCCTGCCCAAACAACTCCAACAACCCAGTTGGAGTATAAAATGGTCTGGAGTGGATGTTGTGGTATCTGTGCTGTGGCATTCAAGTGAGGTGGCAGTACAATTAATACCATTGGAAACACGGTCCCATTACAAACAGAACACAATACATCTCCAGCACACACACAGGGAGATATTAGCCAGGTTGCATATTACTAGTAGTTAGAGCCTTATATCTATGTACTGTAAAACGCTTTAGAGTGGCTTATTCTAGCTAGATAGGGCGCTATATCAAATGGTGTGTTGTATATTGTAGATTATTTCTTTTAAGTGAGAGTTAGTTCCCCTTGGTCCTAAGTGGCAATGCCAACTTGATCCCATGCAATGAAGCGTACGTCCTTGGGACTAGGGATTTAAATGTTATATAAAGGAGGTCGTTGTCCTCTTTGGTCACTGTAGTATTACAAACGAATCAGCCTTTTAGTAGTTAAAGTTTACCACTGCACAAATTACATGTATAATCCCAAAGATTACAACTTTAGAGTTGTTTCTTATTCTGGTACATTTACCATCAATGATGCCAAATTTTTATCATTTCACTTTGATGCTGTGTGTTTACAATTCCTAAAAAGTTCCATTGGTAAAGAGTATGATCGGGGAAGTGGATAGGATCGGATTTTGATTTCTGGGGATAGGATCGGAGTTTGATTTCTGGGGATGGGGTGGAGGGGGATAGGATCGGAGTGTGATTTCTGGGGATGGGGTGGAGGGGGATAGGATCGGAGTTTGATTTCTGGGGAGGGGGTGGAGGGGAATAGGATCGGAGTTTGATTTCTGGGGATGGGGTGGAGGGGGATAGGATCGGAGTTTGATTTCTGAGGAGGGGGTGGAGGGGGTATTTTTTTTCTAAATACTCTTTCAACAAATGTGATTCACAACATGAGCTTTATATAGAATGCATCTGTAGTAAATAACAAATATAATAAGTGTCAACTGTTAAAGGTAATATGCATGTTAACTAGCTGGTACTCTTTGCCTTTAGGATAGACGACAAAACCACATACTGTCAGTAAGGGCTTTACAAATACTTCAGGATATTAGCTACCTAACTGAGACATGGATCTCTGCTCGAAAACAGTTCGGTACCAAGAAACGCCATGGAGTTGGAAGCGAAATTGGGAACACTGAATTACTTTAATTAAAAAAATATATAATAATCCGAAATCTAAGATTACCACCGCTTAGAAAATCAATTCTGCTGACTCTTACAGCAATAATAAAAAAAAGTCCTTAGTTCAATTCAGTACTCACTTGAGCTGATATGTTGGCGCGTCATCATTCAGTATGTCCATCTGTTTGGGATCACATTTTCCCTAAAAATACTACTAGTCCAGATCAACTAGAGGGTTTTTAACTAAACCTACTGTAACAAAGAACACTCCTGGGGCAAGTGAACTAGATGTTTCATAAATGAATGATACGGCCCTTTTGGTCGCAGTGAAATGGCGCCTAAAATGGGAGTTAATCTTGAAAACTTCTTAAAATAATTTCAACGTAATGTGGTTTAAAAGAAAATGCAACGTTGCAAAGGACATGCTTTGGCCAGAGGGACTCAAGACTGTACAGGTACACGACAGGTATGGCCTCCCTGGGGACAGAGAAACGGGGCTCAGCAGGGAAAATATTTAACGTTATAATCATAGTAATAATGATGAAATTTTATTCAGGTCGAAGGCAAAATTTTACAATGTACATACAATCCATCAAATTTTCATGTATAACCTTTATCAATACACAATCACTGTATAAAATATCACAACAATTAATTTACAAGTGAGCATGATAAATAAAATAGAAATAGGTTATACATTGTATATTGGAATGTTCAGGTTATAAGTTGCGTATAGTTAACAAATTGCAAGTTATTTAAAAATAAAAAACGGATGGGTCCGAGTTTGCCATTTACTTAGGATAATCCATAAAGCTATATATATGCGTGTAAAACTAGTTGAACTTATTTTGAAACAATAAGACCCCTTGAGCAAGGTATAGCCTGTACTATTCAGTTCTATTAGACCTGTTGATTTGAATCGTTACCCTGACATTTTAAATTGCATCCTTATGTAGTCTTAGCAGTGTGCTAAGTCTTTGCAGTTGTCTATTCCAACTTCTTGTCCACAAAATGACCTCTGAACATTCAAAAATTGTCGATGAAGCTGAAGTTATTCACGTATAATTACTACAAATATATATAGGTAGCGTACTTTGATTTGTCATGATTCGATACATTGAAATCAACGGGTTTTTTTTCAACATCTTCAAACAATTTTATCAACGTGAACCTGACCATCATGAAAATACGTGATCTGTCATGGTGACAGAACAAGCATAGCCCTTTAACAGAAAAACATGAAATGAAATACATTACCAATTTGGTTTAGTAACGTTTTGGATAACATAGGCTCTGTAGAAACGACATTTTCGTTTGTTTATAGTATGCATACTTAACGTGACGTTATGCGTAGTGAATGTAGGATACACTTTGTATCAGATTGTCTGATAACCTTAGGGAACATATGAATAAACCATGTCTTATATTGAACGTCGGCTAGCAAATTTCTTAACGTTTTTTATAGCGGTTATTTTTCTTGTTGGCAATTATATGTACATTATTTGTATACTTATTGTATTGTGGTTATATTAACTGCACAATGGTTAAATTTACTATAAAGTGGTCATATTTAGTCTAAGTCGTCTACATTTGAACTGTCGAGAGTTACACGTGTGACTTAGTATACAACTACAGTATACGACTATAGCCGCTGCTCAAAGAATACGTCCTCGTCCACATCAGTATCCCCGACGATAGAGTCCATGGGATGTTTCGTAGGACAGGATACCATCATATCACCAACATATTTATTTGCCTGACCTTTTCGTGGACATTGTTGATGGTTGTCTCCATTCATTGCGGTAGAATTATTCCCCTTTTTCAATGAAGAGCCTGCTGAGGATATGGCCATACTTGAACCAAGTCGTCGAATAGCATTTTGAATATTATCGTAAACTTGTTCATCCTTTTCATTTTGGTGTTGTGTCGCTTCAGAATACGACATTGAGGAGTTGACCTTACTTGACCTCTTTGGTTTTGGACACCGAACCTGTCTGTATAAATAGCTGACGTCATCAGCTAGCTGAGATGGCAGGACAGACTCCTGATTAGTGGTCCTGATGGTACCCGGATGTAAGACGTTACGTTGGTGGACCAGCCAGTTGTGTCTCCAATACTCGTTCATGCGGAACAAACTTGTATCCAATGACAACGTAGAATGTACGTCACATGAATGTAACCTTCCACGTTTGCGGAGTTGAGTGAAGCAGCTGTAAAATGAAATAATAGGATTTAACGTCCTTGAAACAGCTTAGGTCATATGAAAACGAATTCTAGAGGGTACCAGGCCATCAACAGGAAAGATTTAGTTAGAGAGGAAATAAGTTAGGTGTTGCATTAGAGGCAGTAGATCAGGGATGGTTTCTACAGTGTCCTTTATGAAGAAGACACGAAGGAAACCCCCTTAATCCTTATTCTGCAGGGAACCCACTTAAGTCGCCCCTTACAATCATACTGTGGAATACAGCAGGACTGTTTCCCAGGAAACAGGACACAGGGCGTTGAAACAATGAGTGTTAAACAAAAGGTGTCACGGTCCTACAATACGTATTGCTTTTGCTGGCTAACTTAATAAAGCCCGACAACCAGTGACGTCACAATAGTGGTCTTCCGACCAAATAGTGTTATCGTTTCACATCTGGGAGGATGCAGAGCACATGTTTAGGTTTACGAAAAATTGGTATTGGCGGTGGCGCTTTCGACTGACTTATTCTAGCTGTATATCATTATTATTTCTATTTGAAGTTCAAAATCACTTCAAGGTATTACTCACCATAGACATGTGATAGTTAGAGCCACGAGCAGAATCCCCGCCATCCCACTTACCACACCAACAATAATTATCACCTCTGAAACGATAAATTATCGATAAACACTACAAAAGTCATACGACAAACGACGAGAGAGACTCTTAAGACAGCAAAAACATACCTCGAATCGAAAAATACAAAGCAAAACGTAGAATCCCAGTAATGTCACGTTCTCAGGTAAAAGGCGGGATAGTGTAAACGTGAATACATTTTCAGGTTCCAACCAGCATCATCAAAGTACAGTGTATTTTTATCAACATTTCTCTGATCTATTTTGATGAAAAATAACAAGTATCAATCATTTACCTGTTCTCCCCAGGTCTGATCCAGCAGAAGAACTACTTCTCATAGAAATGGTAGTCGATTTGTGCTCATGAATCGACACGCTACTTCCTGTTGTAGTGACGTCATCAGCTGATGAGTCATGTATCCTTTTCAGGGAAGACGTCAACGTCGACATTGGATAGGGAGCTGTTGAAATTGTACTGTCGGGCAGTGTGACGGGTTTTTCCCTTGATGAGTAGGTTTTAGAATAAGACATCGATATGATGGATTGTACAAGTGGTGGTGTGGACTTTTCACTCATAGTTTTGGTGTTGATATCAGGTTTAGAGTGATCGGGTGTAAACATCGAACCCAGTGGTTCCCACCTGTCTGTAGATTTAGATGGGAACTTCGGACTTTTTGTGACTATATTCAGAATAGTACTCCTCACGGGCCTGAAGAAGTCGTAAATAACCGATGTTGTTGACACATGTGTTGGTCTAACTGTAATATAACCAGTTGGTAAGTTCGAGGTTAAATCTGCTGGTGTCCTTTGTTCAATTTTCGTTGTAGTTGGTCTGTTTGGTGCTTCAATGGCTTTGGATGGATTAACGACTTTTGATGTTGTAGGTTTCTTGGTTGTTTTGGTTTTATGTTGTCCTGACGTGGATATTGCTAACGGTGTTATCCCTATTGGTATCTTTTCTGCCCGAAAAAGAGCACATAAAAGTTAGCTAAATGTATGTTTTGAAATTTTGTTTTCTTAACTCTAATATCATGTTGTGTAATTGTGAAAAGATTCATGTAGCACAACCAATAAGTGTTCATATGTGACGTAGCTGAATCGAGTCATTTCGGTACATATATAACAACCAATTGCACATACGCTTACAGCGTAGCCGAATCGACATCGACTTGTGGAGAACTCGTACACATTCCACACCTTTGTGTGCATATGCTTCACCGGTCATTTGTCTGATGAAGGTTGCAGAGTACATACCATACTAGTCATCGAAACGTCACATAGAAACACTATGGTTGTGTTACATGAATCTTTCCACAATCCAAACTTACCACCCTGAAGAAAATGTTTAGAAATAATCATGTTGTGTAATTTTTTCTTGTAATATCTGCGGAGGAGAAATCTATCCCATAGGAGGACGCCTTTAGATAAGGAGGATTTTCACAGAGATTTCTTTCAACTATGCAATAAATAATGACGCTAAAAGTATCCAATTAATAGGGTTTCATTAGAGTGAAGTAATTAATATTATATTTTTATATAAATAAAGGTCTCATAAGTTATAACGACCGTATTATCCAATACGGGCAATGAGAAATGTTTTTTTTATATATGTATTTCTTAAATTTATATACAAGCAAGGAAGTAATAGCGACAGTGCAGACAAAGGCATTTGTCAAATTATCAGGGTAATCCACCCTTTTCAAGACAGAAAAATGAACACTTACATATCATAACATGTAACAAAGATAACAGTTACTATGAAACAATACGACAACATCAAATACATAAACCCTTCAGTTTAATAGCTTGCAACCGAAGGCTAACTATTGTGAAAATTTCCTCTCGCAGAAACATAAATACTTACATAGCACAACTTATTACAAAAATAAACACTTACTATGAACAATGCAACGACATAATTATAATACATGAACAGAAAACAAAATAACAAATTCCTTTGACTGCTCTGTCGCTATTAATTCTTTGCGTATATATCTATTTAAGTAATACTATCAATACCCATGCTACACCACACTGTCGTTGTGTTTTAAGAGACCTATATATACAAACCGAAAGCGGCACTTAGCGAACAGTCAAATGACTTTCAGAGTTACTTTTCATTCGCTCATTAATTTATTGAAATAACAGTAAATAGTCAAAAGTATCAAAGAATTTCAAAGATACACGTACGTGAGTGTATGTGGTGAAGTATTGGCAACGTCTAAGATATTGAAATGCTGGAAACTACGTATATTTCGTAACGTACATGCTACAGTGTATATTTACGTTTGGGTTGATTAGGAATGAAAAGCTATCGCAAACTACTCATTCAGATGAAAACAAGATAAATATGTGTAAATGTTCTTCTTGGTTTGAAATCCGCACAAATTACGTGTGATGCAGAATTTCAATATATTTATTTGCGAAAATTAAACGTCTTGCATAAATACTTTACCTGTACAAGTGTTGTATCTCTGGCCATCTGTTGTACATATCACCTCACACCCCCCTCCCCGTCCATCACCTATTGTTTGGTGCCCTTGTCGTCTGACTGTTTCGCTGTTATCAGAACACAGTTTACTCGTAATTTTGATAATCAAATTGAACGACAAGCGTTGGTTTATATTTAGACCTAACGTTGCTCCTGCTCTTCTGTATCTAAAACAAATTTCATCGCTAGTAAAAAATTTCCACAATGAAAGTTCTGTGAGGCACGTTACAGTTTGACAGGAAGTGGACGCACATGGTCCTGCATACACCTGGAGACTTCCGGTTACGTTGCGTTTGGTCCCCATCATGAATGAAGACACAATGACGGTTGTGAAGGGGAGCTGTAAGCTGGAAAGCCTGACCTCTAGACTTCTTACACCTGGTAGTCTGAGACTCCAGTCACACGAGGCCACGGCCTGGGAGTTCGGCGGGGACTGCGACAGGGTGTAATTGTAGCTATGGTAAAGGTCAACAGTGGCAGTCTCGTTCCTACACCAACTACCGATGGCAACATCTACCAAACAGGTAAATCAAAACGATGCAAGAAATTAAGATATACGGTTATATAAATTTAAAAAAATGTCAAACAAAACACACCTTATCACCCTGAAAGTAAACAAATAAATGAAATGAGGCAAACCAATGCAGGACATTACACATTCCATATAATACCTGAATTTTCTTTGTAAATACTCTAGATAAATATACTAGCAAACATGTTGTTTAAAGCTATCGTTATTGCAAAATCTACGTAACGTTAATCAGAATTATTTGCGGTCTTTTTGTCTTTCATTTAGTGTTCAATAACAGCATTTTCTCAAGTTAGAACTCTGTCGGCAATTCCAAGATAACTGCAATTTGTTGTTCAAACGCTTGTCTGTTAAAGAAGACAATTATGTGCATTTCCTCATACAAAAAAGTAATTTTGGTTCACAGGATGAACAATCTGCAAAAGGAACTAGAGAGACCTCCAAAGTCATAAAACTGTATATTCTTTTTATTAAGATTGTATACGTAAAGATGAGAGGTCGAAAACTGTCCAATCTCCTACTTGGTGAACACCTCTTTGTATTACGAATGGACAGCTTGTGAACAATGTAACGGTAATAAAATGAACAGTGACTAGGTATTGGTACAGCATGAGCTACCGTCAGTCGTGCATGAACGCATGTTGTTGAAATATTGCGCAGGTAAAGGTAATGTGACTATAATCGGAAATGCAAATGATTTCATATCCACGTACTAATATACAGAATTCTGAGTATTTATAAGTCAGTGCAGCATTTCAAGCGAGTAAATGTAATTATCAGGGGATGCCAATATCGCTTGATTACGTTTTAAAGTTATATCACATGTTGATTAAAGTGAATGTTTATTCAAATAAGATTGCACACATCATGGTTTAAAGATAGAAAAATAATTAAAGAAGAGGTTAAAGCATGTATACCTCAATTTACACGTGAACAAATACTAGTGTACGTGGCAGTTAAATAATCTCGCTTCCAGTAAGTAAACACTCCGTGACAATCGCTAATGGTTATTCATCTGGGAGTGTCAAATGGATGACTTCTACCTCCGATATGTAACATTATGTGTGGGGATCTGTTGGATTATTCCTGAATCAACTGTAGATGTTTGTTCCATTCCACCAATAATCATAGTTAAACATATGTATTACAGCAGTCTGTTCCCAAACACCGATTTTCCTAACTATACCTCATCAGTGCTATGGTCAGCTGGATTATTCCTGGATGAAATATAACTGTCGGAGGTGTTACGATGTTACATATTTTACTGTTTGTTATATGTAAATGTACATATACCTAGTAAAACCGTATGTTGTAATTGAAGGTTTTGTTTTGAAATTTGCTTGTGCTTAAAATTACTTTTGTTACCTGTAAATGTCCATTATTAAGCCAGTAACTGTTTATTAGTAAAAACAATAATGAACAGCTACTGCTTAAAAATGGACAGCTACAGTTTCTTCTTTTAACAATCTACTATATAATGTATAATAAGAAGAAAGGGAGATATCACCACTGCGTTTAAATAATATATTAAGATCGAAATATATATTTTAACATTTATGAGGAATGAAACATACATACTTAGAAAGAACAATGATTCAATAGGATATAGTGTATGTACGTGTGTTGCATACCCCGTTCAACGTTAAGAATGTGCAGTTCGGTCCTGAAATATATGGAAAATATATAAGGAACGAAAAACTGTCTTAAATGATTATTTTTGTGGTTTGTTTGTGTCACCGCGTTGGTTAATATCATCTGCATCATTTTCTGTTAAACTTTGTTTTAAAATTATTGTTGAATACCAACGGTTATGAAATAATGATGAAAACGATTTTTATTTATTTGAATCTAACTTCAAAATGGCCAAGCTGAAAACATAACACACGAGTTATATTTTATCTAAGATCATAATTATTATTACCCAAAACTCAAATAATTAAAATACACTAGTTATAATGGGAATAGGACCACTTGATGACAATTCCGACAGCAGTGAGTGTGGTTCATTTGTTCAAAGTTATGTCAGCCTGTTAATAACAATGTCTTTAATCGATATACAAAAAGTATCGTTAGTATCAGAAAACTATCTTGAATCAGTTTCCATTATCAAAGTAACTAAATTATACTCATTAATGAAACTATCCTATGTTGTGTTTTTTTTTTATAAATAACCCGCAACAGAAATAATTGCCAAAACAATCACTATTACATCAATAATCTTCATTATTATGAAAAATAGAACATAATTAATAGGAAAAAACACGTTTGCTTAAGTTTTCAGAAAGAGGGAACATTTTATCAAACTTGCGTAAAAGGATTTTTTGGATTAGAGTTCTATAACATTTAAATGAAGAACCCGTTCTTGATTATAAATATGTATGTACATACCTCTGTGTGTGTATAAAACAGCGTGGATATGTTGTACCAGTAGATAAATAAAACATGACAGTACCTTACTGTTCATATCCGCTTTAGAACAACAACGACATACAAAGGTAATACCAAACCGATGTGGGTTAGGTGGTACGCTCTCGCCGGTCATACCTTATCACACTATTGGGATAGCAGTGGTGCCACCTGCGGAGATGATACCACGCTGGTACAATGTCAGATAATATTCTTTCTGACAGTGTTGTCTATCTACAGATCTGTATAAAGTCAAATGACCAATGCTTTATCTTAAGAGAATACAATGTTTGCTTACCCACAAAGTAGTTCACCAAGTACGAATACTTTAGAGGTAATCTCTGCAAGGAGACTTGTCTTTGAGCCTTCTCTAGAAGTGTTTTTTAATACCGATTTGACCGTACATCGTTACATTATAGTTTTTTAACTGTGTTTTATAAGTAAGCGTTAATATTAACCTTTATAAACCTAATAATATGCCATTAAGATGCCCGTATTATCAAATCTACATGTGAGCCAAACTCAATACATATATGAACATGTAACATGATGGTATTCTTCCGGAACACATGGTCTTATTCTCATTGTACTTTTTTTCAAGGGTCTCCGTTCTAAGGTTTTCCTTGTTCATATTTTGCCCTAATTTTTTCAGTTCGATTTTAGGATTTGTTGACACTTTCGTTTTCTCTTGTTTTTATTGTTATATATCCTGTTATACGACCATCACACAAAAGTATTTAATCTATGGAGGAATAGGGCAAACTCCTGCAATCTTTCCTTTCTGCAAGGAATTGTTTTATACTTTAGAGTACATATTTAATTTTGGTTCATCTCCCGATAGACTAAACTTCAAATATTTTCTACGATTTCAGTTCTTTTCTAACGTTAAAAGTCTACAAATCACAACTTCATTAGTAACACGAACCGTTTTCAAAAAGGATATAGTTCAATTGGTATCTACCATGCACGTAAAAAACACGTCAAATTGCACGCGCTGTATAATAAAAGATAAAAATAAGAATTGTAATGAATTATTATATTCTATAAGTTGATCATTAGAATAGTCAGTTGATGAATTATTTTCAATACAGTGCATACGAAATAACTCTTCGAAACAATAGTTTACGGCGGCAAAACTAAATTTTACAAATATTGAAATTCCTGATACAGTTGAAATTTACATATGAATATGATTGAGATAATAGGAGAATTGTAATTTTATTTCTACAGTAATTAGCTATTTAAAAAAAAAATCAATACCTTGTAAATAGGTTGAAGTGAAATATCTATGGCTCTTATTGTATGAATTAAGTACCAGTCAACCTGTATATTTGATCACTTTGACAAAAAGCTGACTGTAATCCGATTATTGGAATTTTCTCTTTATAAAATAAATTTTGATATGGTCCCAATATTCTGTTAAGAAAGACACTTAACACGATCACACAAAAGAAATGGCAAAATGTTGAACGTCGTAAGCTACGTTCGTGACCTGAGGTTGAAAGCTTGCTGGAACTGCTGATATGTTCATCAATCACAAAATCAAAATAGATTCTTGACTATTCAAACATCAACTACCCGACGCTTTCGCTGCAGGGTTAAAATGCAGGTTGTCATTGAAATACACAAACGCATTTTTGTTTCAAAAGATTTTAATTGCTCGTATGTCGTAGGTCATTTTTTTAATGAAATATGTCTGATAAATAACGTTAGGGATACTGAGATATAGATACAGATTTATAGAATAAATATCATTTGATATGTATAGAAGAAATAGAATGGTTTGTTTTCCTGCTAGAAATATACGTAGGATTAATTATTTCAGTGTTTTTAAACAATACCATGAAGATCATTCTAAGTAGTAGTATATGCAATGCAAATACTGATATTAACTATCAATCAGGAAAAAGCTACATCTCACTTAAAATCCCCAGATAAAGTTTCTTTCTTAAAAGTGAAGTAAATTTGCCAAAGAATTAATAGAAAGTAAGAAAATGAGAAATGTTCAAATATTGACAGTTTTTGAAATCGTTAGGCTAAAACTGAAGCAGGGTCCATTTACATAAACCATCGTCTTTATCTGCGTTTTTACTAGGTATTGAAATACAACTTCCGCTGAAATACTTACGCGGCATTATTTCATTGTTTCTATATTAAATGTTCTTGCATACTATATATTCACATTATCATTTAACCTTTACAAAAGGAAATTTCGAAAGATTTATAAAGGAAAAAACTATGAATATTCAACAAGCAACATGGGAGAAGACTATACTGATATATATTCGTGTCAACTCTACTGTCGCTTTCTTTAACACGTAACAGCATCAGTACTTACATCTTGTTCTAAAATACCTCCCATTCATAAAAGATGAAAAAGTTGGAATTTCTTTCAAATCTTGCAGGATCTGTATTTGATCCCCGATAAAGGCCTGCTGTGACTCTTGCTATATTTAGTAGAGAACTGGCTAAGGAGGACTATCTAAGTTCGAATAAATCCAGTAGCGTCATACCGAAGGCACCCAGCAGACCAATCCCGGAGTCCTAAGTCTGCAATAAACCTATATAAGCTGCTTAACTGGCGCCAACATGAATGAGAAAGCAAAATCGGTCGCCTGCTGTGTTCTTTGTTATCAAACACATTATTTATAAAAACATCTTGGACCCTCTGAATTCAGTCCTACAGTAACACGCGTATTGTCCATCACATCTGTCTGTCGTGTACAAAGATGCTACAAATTATCACAGTCGAAGGTTTGAATGATGCTGATGCCCGTCGCGATTTTCATAAACATTCAGATTCTCTCGGTACGAATGAAAGCTTGAGAGGTCTGTCCGGGGTCATCACAGTGTTTAGAACTGGTTCAATATCTTCATGATGGTATTCGATCTTGAAGTTCTGTACCATCTAAAAAAAACCAATACGAGATGTTAATAACAAACTGTATAAAATAGGAATAAAATCGGAATTTATTGTTTCTTTAAATTCATTATTTTCAAATGAGTGCTTGTATTATGTTTGTATTTCTAGTTATTATTTCATACTAAAAGCAAATAACATAAAACGCAAAAGAAAAAAAAAAATCGAAAAAAAAAACAGGAGAGGAAAAAATGAAAAAACAAATATCTAAAAAAGCAACAAATCAAAGAAACAAAAGAGTGCCGGATAAAATAAAATAATTAATAGATAAATAGCAAAAACCCAAATGTACCATATTCTTAAGAAAAAAAGAAATTAAAACATGATGACTTTTCTTACTTAACATAGCTTGTGGACTCAAAATTTTGTATTCAGCACGAATGTAAAATTACTTGTTCATAGATTGATGATTTAAAGACAATATGGTTAAAGTCTGATACTGACCTTGGATAACATGATGTGCATCTCCTGCTCGGCAAACCTGCGGCCTTAAATATAAAAATACAAAGAGGAAATTAGACAAAAATACAAGATAAAAAGAAGCAAAGGAGTTGTTTTTTTACTCTTTTTCTTTCAGTTCATTTTTTTTTATCTGAATTCCTCTAGTCCATAACATACCGTTATGTACAAGACATTGCATGTTAAATGATGAAGTTTTTCTCGAGAATTTTCCAGACCTCCTCGTCGATATCTCCATTGATTAACGTTGTTATGTGTGTAATACATTTTGTATGTCGGTTTAGTATTCGTTGCGCAGTGTGTTACGTGCTAATTATATGTTTTGCTTTTTTCTAACAGCAATAAAGTTTGATACATGTTTAATATTGTTTGATATTATCTAACAACACTACAGTTTGTACATGTTTTACAGACATAACGTTTGATACATGTTTAATATTGTTTGATATTATCTAACAACCCTACAGTTTGTACATGTTTTACAGACATAAAGTTTGATACATGTGCAATATTGTTTGATATTGTCTAACAGCCGTCAATTTTGATACACGTGTACTATTGTTTGATAATGTCTAGCAGCTGAGACGTTTGTTTTAACTTACCAATGCACATCCTTGCTCCGTGCCCCCATACAAGGTTAGACAGTGCCTTGATGTTAGACTCCATGTTGGCCTCCCTTAGCCATCTCTCTGGGCGGAACTCCTCCGGGTCGGGGAAGTACTCGGGATCTCGGAACATCCCGTATAAATTAGCCTGGACGTGGGTCTGGATGGAAAACAAGCCCCAGCATAATGTCATTAACTTTGTAACCACAGATTGATCTACTGAATGTGTAATGTGTATCAGCAAATTGACACCTTGTATTTACAGGTTAAGAAGCAAACTTGTTGTTTTGTTTGAATTATTTCTAATTATGATTATTTCTGATTATTTTGATTTATTTGACCAAATTATATGTTGTGAGGTACATATTTTCGCGTTAGTTCACCAGAAAGGTCGATTATAATTGAAGGAAGCCTTGAATCTAATATCAAGTCATCTGTCTTTTAGGCTACTGGACGCTTTTATTATGTGTATTCTTTTCGTCCCCATGCAGTCTAAAATCCGTTTATAAGAATAATTTCATATACAGTAAATCTTATACATACATGTATATGTAACTGTTATTGTATACTTACGCCAGCGGGTAGGTTATATCCGCCTACTTCGATGTCTTTTTGTACAAATCTGCTGGTGGCGAAAGTGATTGGGTATAACCTGGAAAAATGTAACAAAATATGTTTTTGTCGGTGTCGTAAATATCCGTAAAAGTATACTGAAATGTCAAACAAACTACCAATGAACTCAAATCAACAAAACGTCAGCGAAAAATTAAAACCTTTGAATTGGAAACTACTTCCTTTTATAAAAGTTTGGATATCAGTCAGTTTTGATTCTGCTGTTTTAACATCTCGATACCACAGCTATCCAATTAGTACGCAAACGTGTTAACTTGGTTAATGCCTTAACTACGTCCTCGCCACGAATACAATATATATGAATGTAGTATACAGCTTACTTACCGGAACGTTTCCTTGATGACAGCTTTGATGTAGGGTAACTTGTTGAGGGTTTCCGGGGTGATGGCCTCCTTATAAGGGAGGACATTCTGGATTTCCTGAAACAGCTTTTCCTGTACTGTCGGATTCTTAGCCAAGCAATACATCACCCACAGTGAACCGTTGGAGGTCTAGTAGATAAACAGAACATGTATACCAGCGTGTTAATACAATGACAACATTTGAATTCAAAGAGCATCTAACTTGACGCCAAAAAGGAAGGAAGTTTATCATAAACCGCCATGTAACCTAGAGTCGAAATCAGTGCACGTATTCAGAAAAAACATAACACGCTCAAACTAAATATCGATGTTCAAGCTCCATTTCTTGTTCTGGCAATCTATCAATAAAAAATCACATTCTCTAAAGGATCATGGGCACAGCCAAATCTCGTTTTCAATGTTAACACTTGAAGCTTTGACCGTGCCACATGATGAAGGCCAGTTTAAAGAAAGTCTGCTTGAGCACAGAATTCATTCTTGGTCGTAAGAACAGTTAGATTAATATATAGGCCTAGTTGTTCACAAAAAAGCTTCCTGCAACGTAAGTGACATGTTCGAATCTTGGAAAACATATTGGTCATCACCTAATTTTAATACGATAAACCCAACTTTATCATATATGTTGTCGTTGAAATTTGCAAGAAAAACCACCGCTAAGATTTAACATATTTATAACAAAGTTATTAATTTGTTTAAGGGTTCAGGCACATAAACAGGTTAAGTCCTGAAATAAAGATTTTAGCGTCGATTTACGAAAAGAGACGAAAAAATGCTGAAAGAATATAATTAAATTCAAAATGGAGGGATTATTGTGCATCCGTTTACTAGATTGCATTTGCATGTCAGTATTTATATTATATATTATGTACCGTTTCCGTGGCCCCAACAAGCAGATCGACCGCTGTAGAGAGGGCATCATCCGGGGTGAGGGACTCCTGTGACATAAGGTACGTTAGGAAAGACACCTTTTCGTTCTCTTTAGGAACAACGCCTTCCAGAGCCTTCGCTTTCTGATGATTTGTATAAAATGACGACAAAAATTCAGTAGTAATGATTTACGTGATATCAGTTAATCATTTTTTTTTATTTCAGTGTAAAAAATGTAAATAGATTAGGCATTTCTCGCCGTAACAGCTGATCGCTAATATGTATATCTCTAACAGAGTTCGAACCCACTGAAACCAAAATAATGTCGTTTTACATTTATCTTTACTTTTATACCCTTTCAATCAATTGGTTAGAAAATAAGAAAACGATCAGAAGTATCTTGCTTCCAAAGATTAGCTGTTACATAGCGTGAATATATTATTCTCATACTAAGACATCACCCCTCCAACACACTAACACCTGCGCATAAATCAAGGCCAACAACCTGATTAATATATTTTACTTTATTCATTTTATATTTTAAAATATAAAATGAAGAATATTTAATATTTAAGCAATTTTCTATTGGATTTTCTTTTTCCGGTGGTATCTATGGAAAGTTTAAAGAAAAATAACCATCGTGTTGCAAATGTTTTCAAAACGTGAACAATGCCGAAAATCAATCGAAACACATCTTTAATCTGTATAATCATTTGCAACGTAAAATTGCCGTAAACATCTACTCACCTTATCAACAAAAGATCTGCCGATTTTCATAACATTGTCAGCGTAAGCTTCGTACTGTTTCCACATCTTCGTCGGCATGACTTTGTAGAGGGGAATGTTGTACATGAGGGGTTGCATAAGTTTGAAGAAACCTTGCAGGTTATCGATGAAGCTCTGTGCTTGTGTCGGGGTTGGGCTTCCAAAGCAGCCTATTCTCTCCTCGAACAGGAATGTACCAATGGCTGGGGATGTAATTACTTAACTAATAACTCGATGATATTGTAAACGTTTATAGGTTTGATCAATAAGATAGTTTTGGCTAATCCAGCACTTTAACATGAATAACCTTAAAAATCGTCCAAAGTAAAATGACATCATTTCCCGGTATTATGCATGTTTTATTGTTGTTCCGTGTAACAGGCCAGGTAGGATTGAAAGTTGGCGGAGTGTACGGCCGATGAAGGTTTGTGAATATCAGCCAATCCGAAACGTGTTGACATATCCCGTGCCCAATCATTACCATGCTCTGTAACGGAGCGGGGTGCCTTGAATAAAAAGGGCTAAAACATTCTCCTTCTTGGAATTGGTGATATTACTTACACTAACTCAGCTACATATGTATTTCATAAAAAGTAAGATCTGAGAAAAAGAAGGAAAGACAAATGTACCACTTGCAGGGAAGGAAAGTAAGACCTCATGCAGAGCAAGTCATGGATAAAATATCAGGCCACCGGAAAGATGTTTGAATGTGTTTACTCACATTCCATTGCCCATTTAAAGATCTCCTTCTCCAGGACTGGCACTTCGTGTTTGGTGGTGCTCCGGTCTTTCAGATGTTGGACAAAATCTTCAGCCACTGTATCCATGCTTCCACAGTAGTCCAATACCTCTTTCATCTTCAGCATCTTCTTACTGACCACTGTCCGGTATTTGTGCCACTCCTCTCCTTGTCTGAAAAGATATTGTCAATGAATTAATGGATCTCAGTTCAAAAAAATGCAGAAAGGACGCGCATTTCCTGGAAATTATTTTCTCCCACAACCACTGTAGGTTTCTTCACTCACGACTCAATGGACAAACCTGCTAGGCGCTAGGGGTTGGTAAACATTTTTGGTAACCCAGTAGCTAGTTAACACCTTGGCTTTGATTCATTGAAAAAGCATTATATTATGACAGTTTCTTCAATTGTAACGTCATGATCTATGGCAAAAGTTTACACACTCGGAAAAAGAATTAATGCACGTAAAAATATATTTTTTAAAAATGATATGAACGTTATAGGAGTAAAACGGTCACCAAACTTATGATGGCGGGTTTTCAATTGTAACTACGTCTCAATATTTGTGAATTTCATGTCTTCACACAATTTGAAAATTAACCAACTCCAGTTATATAAACATTTAAAATTAACCAATCTCACTCAATGGAAACCTCAGTATCCTAAATACAGGCCCCGGAAAAGGTAATCAACTGTAAGATGTAAATTTCATATGCAGGTGCAATGATGCGTTACTAATTAAGATATTGAGGTTAACGATGGAGAAAGATACATATCAGATTATCATCGGGTTGGGCATTGACGTAATCATAATGGTCATGCTGCAAAAAAAACCCAGAGATATAAAACTAAAAATTGAGGGATTGTTGATATGTATGATTTCAAGCTTTGGAGGAGATGCACGAAAGTGTTAAAATCGTTTCTTAAATTTTGAAACATTTGAAATGACTTACGCATTGACAAGACCAAGTCCGATCCCATTTTTGGACCTGTAGTAAGCCATGGGTTCCATCTCGCGTCTCATTGGGTATTTGCCTTCGTCTCGGATCACTTTGCTGTACTCGTCTGGATCGCTGATGATAACTGTTGAAATGGTAGCTATTTTCTCTTTGTAGATTGGTCCGAATTCTAAAGCTCTTGTTCTGTATGCCTACAATCAAATTCAAGGAAAGGTGAAATTCTTGCCGGCTTGACCAGAGGAAACCTTTGTTTCAAAGAAAACTTAAAAAATATATTGCCGCTTTTTCATCGCAAAACCGTCCTACTTTTGTCATTCTTCAAACTTCATCGAAGCTTGATGTCACAGTAATGAAGAATGTCATGTTAGAATGCAATGATAAGAACAAATTTGTTTTAGAAATCAAGCTTCCAAATCTCCATTGTCTACAAATCGTTCTTTGTAGAAATGATGTTAGCGCTACATATAACGAACAAAAACAAGTTCTCACCTCAAACATTTTGTTAAATCTGAGACCGTCTTTCTTCAAGTAATCGAACAAAGTGCCAATAAGTGGTAGGCCTTTTGGTCCGGGTATAGCATCGTAGTTCTGTACTTTGTTTTCAATGACTGGGGTTTCCACTTGGATCGCTGCTGTTTGCTGCGGTCTACTCATCATATTATCTATTGTTTCAAAAGTACTTCTAAATGGACACTGAAATGCATACAAAAACAAAATAATGCCCTACATCTCAGTTGCAAATTAACGATGTAGTAAGACTGTTAATAATTAACTTATTAAGAGGTAAACTAGTTTTTTGTAACTGTGCTTGTTGAAATAAATAGCAAGCCTCAGAAAATCACTATGGAATATTCTGGTATTCAAAAATACATTTCAGTCAGTTTCAGTCAATTATTAATCAATTATCAGAACAAAAAAAGCTTCAAAAATGTAAAAATTAATTTGTGTCAAAATTAGTGAAACATGTATACAAATACGAACAAGCTTATAACGAATTCCTGCTTATCTCAAAGTTGTATTGCCTGTGATTCTTGTTTTAGAACTTGACATAACAGGGCAAATATCATAAATGTAACACATTATCAACCTTATTTCAACTTCTTTATAACAAAAATATCAGCAGATCTTTCACATTAACCATTTATTTCAAATTAAAGCTTAACATTAAATTTGATGATGTGCATACACCTCACATCGACTCACGGTTCATAAATCAAACATGGACTCACCGTTCCTGCAATGTCTGCTCCTACTGCGAGCACCTGCGCCCCCTGGCGGCTGGACGTCGACGTTGATACGACTCGTTTGATTGGGGTGTTTATTTTCACCAATTTGGTAAGCGCTTTTGTTGTTGTAGATGCCATTTCTAATTTGAAAATAAATACTGTACAATACTTTCACAAGTAAATGCATAGAACATTATGTTTAGTATCTACAACAGCGCAGTTAACCAATATAATAATTTCCAACCTCTTAACGATAATATTGACAAAATATAATAGTTATTACTATACAGCGGTTACCATATTGGTGTTCAGAGCGCCTTCAATAGTCAATAAGACTATTCGCGAAAATTACCCTTGAAGCCGTATTATATGATTTTGAAATAAAGAGACGTTTCCATGTTGCAGTCGTTAATATCTTTAATTATAGCAGATAATTAACAAAAACAACTTTCATAAAATGAAACTATCCATATATATTAATATATTTAAGACAAGTTACAAGATCAGATGAGGGTATTTAGACAAAACATCGTGTTATTAAAATATGTTGCTAACAACATCTAACAAAACAAAATGTCACTTAAGAACCAAGTACATACAACAGACGTGGTATGTTAGCATGCGTACCTGATTTTTGTTTTTGAAGTGCTAAAATTCCAAATAAAGGCAGACCGTGTTTTGGTCTCCTGGTAGGTACGTGTCGCTTAGGCACTCTGTGCACAGAATATATGAAGTCTTTGTCTTTTATACTACTGGACGCAGCACCATGCTTACGTATCGCCACAGCTGGATAGCCATAGGATGGCGTACACAAAGCCACGCTTTCATTGATGGAACCCGATGATTCACCAGGATAGGATTCTACTAACGAGACGGTATCCAAACGACCCTATTGTATTCATGTGAGATGTACTGAAAACATATTTTATTATCATGATACTTATATATATAAATAATTAATTTCGAATGGCCACACTGATCTCTTTTGCGTATTGGCATGGTTCACAATATACACACTTACTAATGAATTAACGATCACTCCTCTAAATTTTGAAATTCATAAAACAAAGGGATTTATTAGACGAAGATTTCATAGATAACGTCCAAATTAACCAGAGCTCAAATATATGAAAAGATCAGTAAAAAGAGGATATAGCAAAGCAAAATTAACAAGAAATGAGTAAGCAAACGTTTCAATCAAAGTTCAAACATCATTTAAATATGACAGGTTCTGCATGTGGTTCAGATATACGCTTTCACTTTTTATATTTTGTGCTGTTTTTCTTTTTGTTTCGGTGCATCCATTTATTTATTTGTACATGGATAACGACGCTATCAACCACGAACATATCAATAAAATAAATGCCCACGAAATGTATCCACAGTGCTGTATGTTTTGAAGCAGATACCTCACAAAAGATTTTCTGCCATGATGTTCTCCCCTATAGTAATAAGCAGGTTAAGTACTATTTAGAATTAAAACAACTAATCTGTGTGTGACGTAGGTGGTGATTACATGTCTCATGTTGTTGTCGAACTCTTGGAACCGAAACAGTAAAACAAATAATATTTGGCCAGGATCAGTGCATTTACGTAAACTAGTTAATAATAATAATAATAAACTTTATGTATTGAGGATAAAATACATGTTTAGCCAAAGGCTAATCTTCCACATGGTCCTCTTGTAAGTAAAATACATGCGTTAGATAAAATAACATATTTACGTAATCGATATATATATATAAACATTGTGCTAGATAAAAGTTACATATTGATGCAATCGACATATATAACGTTATATCACAGTTATCTTATTTAACAGTATCACAGAATGCATAAAGTTTCATGCAAAGGTATTTCATCAATTAAATGGCATGTGCCTAATATACATACATGCTTATATAGCAAACAATAAAAATTGACATAGTTATACGCTAATATAGCAGAATCTAAAATATTGATAAAATTCAGATAAGAAGTCTATTTAGAAAGTAACAAGTTATTTCTATACAGTATTTAGTAAGTTTTCGTTTGAAAGTGGTATAATTGTCTTTTTTCTTTAGATCACTGGGTAAAACATTCCCGTCGTTAATACTGTCAATAAGAAAGTGTCTGGAATAAAAGACAGTTCTATGTTTTGGCACTATAGATTATTTTCAATAGCATATCTTGTATTCCTACATTGACCTTCTCGCACATGAGACACATCATTTAATAAATCTGCAGGCTAGTTACAACACCCGGCTACAGTTCCACAGGTTGCTGTGATTCTGAAAGTGATACAAATGTAAACGACGTATGTCATAAGTCTATCTACAAATCTCATATATTGTATAGTGATCCAGCTGTTAACAGCAGGAAGACAGAGCGATGCCTTTTCACCAGCTGGTACCGACACCCACGTGAAAATATAGGCCATTGATCATTCATGAAATCTACAGTTAAGTAATTGTTTCATAACCGATTTTTTTCAATGACATTTCTTGGATTAGAAATATTGAGGCAAGGCTAGTACGACCCTAACATTAACATATATGCCACTATATCGATGTTATCATACCTTTTGTAGGAATCTCACAATCATAACATTTATTTTCAATAATTCAAATTATTTCGTCCAGTTGAAACCATATGAAGTTGTTCACATCTCGGAGATTTATGCTATTAAGTGATCATTTATGTTATAGGAATATCCTGAATATTTGTTTATACAATTCTACTTATTCTGATATGAAAAGAAATGTTGAATAGGGCTAGTATTTGTTTTTCAACTTATAAGTTTAGCCACTTGATGTCATATATGTGTTGATATACAATACACTAGATCAACTATGAACGAAATGAAGCAAGTTGGTATTGATCTAACATGAATTGGTTTTGTAAATAAACCGAAAACATCACATCTATTATAAGATTTTATTTTTTACATTTTGTTTTACAATGCTTTGATTTATTTTACGATTGAAAACTTGACGCTGCCCCTGCCTATCGTAAATTTGCTCAGCACTGTTTATGATAGTAGCTTTTTATTTTAATCACGTCGATCAGTCGATGTGTCCAAAAACGAGTGATCATATACATGTATGTATGCTTTATGTTTCCTTATCGATACCTATTTCATGGTTTGTCCCCGTGGTATTCCGTTTTTCCACACATCTCTGACGACTAGACAGGGTACACAATGAAACATGTTTATGTTATTATTCTTAAGGAAATATACATATTATCTACGTTTCAATGTGCCCTTATAAAATAACGTTTCTCATATTTCCGAAGTGAAAACCGGGATAATTAGAACAAAACCGCAATGCACACTCATGAACTCAAAATATCGACTTTCGCACAAGGTTATATATCAAGATGACGACCAAAAACTTGCCCGTAATCTTTAGCAACTTACCTTCTCGAAATCTTGTGTTTTCAGTTTAACTATCAACATTTAACATCGATCATGGATTTGTTATACCCATAGCATGTTCATGAATATCGAATCCATTTGGATATGTTATAACTGTAAATGTCAAAAGCAGAGATGTAACAATCAAGAAATGGAATATTCGGGAGCGGAAAATCGGAATCGTATTTTATTCAGCTCTTTTTGTTCCGCAAACAAAACCGTTGATTCTTCCCTTTCTATTTTAGTGACGAAATCATCAGTCCAAGACGTTAGTTATAGTTGGTAGCTGTATTTCATTCTGGCACGATTTACATAAATAATCTATTTTAAGTATGATTTATCTACTGTATCTAAAGGTTGTAATTTATTATGTTATAATAGTTTTACAGATACCGTTTCGGAACTATTTGAATGTCGATTTTTCCATTATCATACCTTTAGTACCACTGACGAGGCCTAAATGGCCGAAATGGCCACGTGGTACAGTAATATGTGAAAATGAAAGCCTTAATTAGTAAGGACCCTGTTACATATCCTGAAATAAAAAGCTCTTCGAGTAATTCAGCCTTATATGAAAACAAAATCGAGTCGGCAACGAGAGGGGTAATATTTATCTGGCACACAGGGGCACATGTGTATCCTAACAGCCTGTTAGAAATCTTGGCAATAAACTTAACAAAGATAAATTAATAAATGTAAACCATGAATAGAATAAGTTCATTAATTTAGTAACACATAAGCAAAAGTTTACATATTATTACGTTTTTTCTATTTACGTTAATCCGATGATGATGTTTTACAACCAAAAGCTTATATATTAATGATAAAACTGAATAGTTATGAAACTGTGATTGATATGAATTTCTTATTTACATTAAGATAAAGAGACTAACACAGTTGAAAAATCAAATCCTTATTTTACCTTAAACAATACCGAAATCTAAGTTTATTTTATTACCGGTACATACAATATCGTAATCCAAGTTTACATAATTACACAGTACTGTTATTTTTATATGATTATCTGTAAATTATTAATGCACCCCTCTCCGTGATTCAAGGTCGATCATTGATATCAGGATTAATAAGTGTCAGGCTAGGGTCAGTAAAACCACCATGCTCGACTTGTAATAGAGTGTGAGTCTAGACATCAGCTTAATGATAGCGTTTGTGTTAGCTTCATTGTGAGGAATATCAACCGCTTCTTCATAACTGGTAGGGATATTGATTAAAACTCCTTTTGGTGGAATCTTTTTAAAATCAACAAATTATTTCTTAACAGTGACATTTTCTTAAGAATTTAACAATAAATGAAAAACAAATTACCAAAATATCCGTTTTTATCTTACATGAAGCCACCAAGACTTTCTTGGAAGCAACGAGCTTACCAGGGCCAAGGTTAAACGTTGTGGCATTTCAGTTCTGTACTCACATGTTCTGTTGTCAACAAATGTCAAAAGGTAAGATTCAGAACAGGGATTCATGTCAGCATTTGTTTCTTATCTCTATTTAGTTACTATGAATGTTGTCTGGTCATTGCAAATCTATAGAACTAAAGAATGTTAACAGTTTGATTGCTTTTGTTTTTATTTACTAATTTTCATCTATCTATTCAAGTTTATCATTACTTAAAACAATGAATAAGGAAACAACGATTTAACCAATTTAGTCGATAATAAAAACCGAGCGATTTTCTTTTAAGTCTTATTCATATGAATATTTCGGTCAGCGAGGACTTGTCAGTGACGTTAAATATGCTGGTTCTTGATATATGTCACCTTTTAACTTTTACACAAAAATTGTTTTTACTCCATCTGATGAAAGTATTTAATAACTCCATATGCACAAATAACTGGAACAAAGCCCGAAACTCAACGAAGCGGCCTGACAAAAAATCGAAGTAACAAACCAACATATAAGTACTCACGCTACCGAGATAAAAAAAAAATCAATATAATTAAAGAGATCAGGAGTAAGAACAGCAAAATATCTAGAGCTACTCGTGAAGATAAATAAGAAAACCAAATAGAATAGCACAACTATCGGACACAGGCACCTTTAAAATCTCAAAACGACCGTCGGGTTAACTCGCCTGAACTAGATAAGGAAGTGTAATTAAGGTAGCGAAGGACACTAGAAGCAAAACAAATAATTTAATTTCGCAAACTGTATATTGTTCTTTGGAGTGTACCTAACAAAATATCAAAATTTGAGAATAGGTTTCCAGGCTATTTTTAAAGACATTCTTTGAAAGAGTTACCCCTCTTTGAAGTCCTAAAAATGTCATTTTTCTTCCGTTTTTAAGTCATTAAGGTACCCGCCAAAAAATGCTTATGATTGTGTTTTAACTTATCAAAGATCAATATGAATAAATATTTTGAAAATATTTTATACATAATATTGAAAAAAAGAATCTTATGTAAAATTTCGCAAAACAATTGTGTCAATGAATTCTTTTTTAACTTGG